CCTACCTAGTATCCAAGATACTGTACCATTTTTAGTTAGAGTAGTTTATAAGTTAAAACAAAATAGTGCTACTGTGGGTTCCAAAGAACCTTGAGAATGCTTTTCTCTTGATGTAATTATCATGCATTGAAGGACAAATCATCTAACATCCTTATTCTAAAATTAACTTCTAATTTTAACTTCTGATGACTATTAAATGCTTTTATGTATTTATGCCTTAGTGTTAATTAAGTTGTAGCCTCACCTAATATTTATAAGTTTACAGATTTATCTTGCATGGAAAGAATTCCTTAAAAATATGTACAATTATTATTTTAACTATCTTTAAAATTATAATCTTTACAAAGTTATGTATATTTTATTGCTATATGCTATGATAACTCCAACTCTTCAATTTTAATTATCATGAAGTTCAACTCCGATCAATACTAGATCAAGTATTAGATGTAAAAGTGATCAGGCACTGCTTTAGATTTGGGGATCCTGGATTTTCACCAAGGTCTCTGCTGAGTTCCAAGTATGTAATTTAGCACAAGCAACACAATGAAAACAACTCAGCATAACTGTGAGGGGAATTTGTTCCAGGGGAGATATTCTTAGGTGCCATATTTGAGCTGGGTTTTATAGGAATTTTTGAAAGAAGGAAATGAGAGGGAATTCCTGGCAAAAGAGAACAGTATATGAGAAGGTGAGGGGCGGATATGAGGATGTTTCCAGCAATGTAAAAAGGTTGTTTGTTGAAAGATCCCAGCACAAATAAGGCTGGATGCAATGTTCAGGGGCAGATGGGAAGTCGTATGGATAGACATTTAGGAAACCCTTAAATTCTTGGCTTCATTTCAAACATTGAGTACTGAGGAAATTTAAATGATTTTAAAGTAATAGAATAGGTGGCCTTGAAGAGAGACTAGAGTTAAACAGAGTACACAGAGAATTGATGGGAAAGATGCTAACTGATCAACTTACTATATAGTATCTTTAGAATGCTTTCATGATTTTATACATAAAGTTATGGAAGTGTCAGACTGTCCTGAAATACAATTATTAGTTAAGTTTTAAAAGTAAAATACCACTTGTCTTAAATTTTGTCCTGAATATCATAAGACATTTTTAATTTGATACTGCTGCGCTTTAATATTTAAAAAGATTGGCCTCTTAAAAATATTTGCTTTTGCCAGGTGCCAGTAGCTCATGCATGTAGTTCTTGCTACACAGGAAGCTAAAATCTAAGAATCTCAGTTCAAACCCAGCCTAGGCAATAAGACCCTTATCTTCAATTAATTACCAAAAAGCCAGAAGTGAAACTGTGGCTCAGTGGGTAGAGCATTAGCCCTGAACATAGGAGGCTCAAGGACAGTGCCTAGGACCTGATTTCAAGCCCCAGAACTGGAAAAAAAGGCTTGTTTTACTCTTCATGTCCACAAGATTGTGTTAACTAAATAAGCACTAAAAAATTCATCCAACTTGCCCAACATTTCTGTGTTCCTCTTTTACATGAATCTGATCCAATAAAATTCGCTCTGTCTATTCTGTGTAAGTTAAAATCCTCTTCTGCTTTGACCTGTCAGAATCCTATTCATCCATCCATCAAAGTCCAACTCATAATTCTTGTGTGACCTTTCTTCTATATAACCAGTACCACTTTGCATCTTTTAACTTATCTCTCCCTTTCTGCTTTTGCATTATAAATACCAGTGTACTTGTCTGAGCTCTTAAATAGCAGTCAAAATGTGCCAAGATTACTTTTATTATAGCTATTTGACTTGATATATTTATACCCCTACTCACTGAAACTTAGCAATATTATATTGGTCTCTTATTCTAAAGGTATCAGATGAAAAGATAATGCCTTCAATACTCCTCTTACCTGGCAGAGTTAATTTACAAGGCTGTGACTGTAAAGCCCAAAACAGAACTTACTGTTCAGCCCTTAGGAAGTAGTAACAACACTTTGAAAAGTCTTAGCAAGATTTTCTATATTCAGACAAAGGACCATGACTTCATTCCTGCCAACCTCCAGAGCATAATAAACTACTGTCACTTTTGGCGTGAATCCAACTTTGCCATTAACTTTCCTCATAAAATTTGATTAAAGGGCATTGTAAGGCTTTTCTAATTAGGATAGTGCATTAGGAATTTATTTCCTATCCACAGTATGTCATATTCTGAATGACACTGAAATTTGATGCATACCTGTAAACCTGTGGCTGATAAATTTTTGGCCTTTTATTTTCTGATGGAGAATTATTAAATTACTTTCACCAGTCCAAATTCTTTTTCTTTCTCTTATGCCAGTACTGGGGTTGAACTTGGGGCCTTATGCTCTTTCTTGGCTCTTTCACTCAAGGCTGGAGCTCTACCACCTGAACCATACTTCTACTTCTAGCTTTTTGGTGGTTCATTAGAGTTACGAGTTTCATAGACTTTTCTAGCCAGACTAGCTGCAAACCAGGACCCTCAGATCTTAGCCTCCTGAGTACCTATAATCATGGGCATAATTCTGTATTATTTTAACAAGTGATTGAAATGTTGTTTATTGAATTAGTATTTAATTCTTTAATTATCAATTAAATTATTTAAACAAACAATTATATTGTTGTCTATATATTATAAAGAAGTCATTGAGTTAGCTACAGCTCCTGGTTATTTTCTCCAGCATTCATCAGTGCATTGGTATATTTTATAATACTTGGTTAAATAATAATGGTTGATTAGCTTGCATAATCATGAGTTGATTGTTAATAATAAATTTTCCCATCATTATAATGTATTAGCATATATTAGCTACTTGTACAAATCTGGATGAGTCGGTAGATTTAACTCTGGATTTGTAGTAATTCTTTATCTTCTGAGAGTATTTTGGATGGCAAACTTACATCACTGTTTTTATTCAGTTCTTATATAGTAGTTAAGAACAGAGATTGTTACTAAATCAAGACACTTCATGTGGGCTTTTCAACCTATAACTTATTTTCTAACTTTTTATTTTAATGAAATATTTTCAAAAGACTCTGCCCCATTTAATGTTTGAATATTTCTGTCAAGTTACTTGTAAGTAGATACAGGAGAGGCAGAACACTAAGATAAAAACACTCAGTGCTGACTCAGTTCCTTGGTTTCTTTGAGCATCATCTGTCTCAGAAAAATGTGTGCAGCCCGCTGTGGTGGAATATTTCTGTAGAGAGGTTTCCTGCGGTGGTACTAATGATCTGTGAACTGCATCTATATAGATGATCTTTCTCCCCAGGTGATTCAAAGTTGAGAAGACCTGAGGTGTCTTCAATTAGTCTATTTACATGTCAGTCTTCCTTTAACCAAACACAGTTCCGTTCTTGTTTTTTTTGGGGGGATTGCATTTTTTTATTGTCAAAGTGATGTACAGGAGGAGTTACAGTTATATAAGTAAGGTAATAAGTACATTGCTTGTCAAACTTGTTACCCCTTCCCTCATTTTTCTCTTACTTTCCTTCTCCCTCCCTTCCCACCCCCAAGTTGTACAGATCATTTCCAACATATTGTTTTGTGTATATTGTTGTTGCATTGGTTCTTTGTCTCACCATTCTGTTGTTCCCCTTCCCTTCCCTGATTGAAATAAATGTATATACAATACCAGGATACCAAAATCATATACAGTGACAACATGGGATATAACATAGGGGGAAGAACATACAAAAGAAACAAAAAGTCAAATAGTACATTAAAAACAACAACAACAAAGAAAAACCTCTTGTGTCCATGTCTTGGAGTTCATTTTGCTTAGTGTCATCTTATATGGTCATATATACATAGCTATTGAGCTATGCAGCTCATCTGTGAAGATTATCCTAGATGTATACTAATTATTGCAAATAAGGGAACTTTCCGCATGGGACCTATGTTTCTTTCTTTGGGTCAGCTTATCACCTCACCCCAGTTAGAATGGCTATAATCAAGAAGTCTGGTAACAACAGATGCTGGAGGGGATGTGGCCAAAAGGTAACCCTATTGCACTGTTGGTGGGAGTGTAAACTTGTTCAACCAGTCTGGAAAGCAGTATGGAGGTTCCTCAAAAGACTCCACATAGAGTTTCCCTATGAACCAGCAATCCCATTTCTGGGCATTTACCCAAATGATCATAGACAAGGCCATATTATAGCTACCAGCACAACTATGTTTATTGCAGCATTATTCACCATAGCTAAGATATGAAACCAACTCAGATGCTCCTCAGTAGATGAATGGATCAAGAAAATGTGGCAGATATACACAATGGAATTCTATGCTTCCTTCAGAAAGAATGACGCAGCCCCATTTGTAAGGAAATGGAACGATTTGGAAAAAATCATATCAAATGAAGTTCTGTTCTTTATGCACCCGAACCTCTATTTGTGCACTTGTCATAGAATTACCTGGATTCCATGGATCTAACTAATTTTCATTTGTTAAAAATCTGTTGTAAAATATTTTGAGTGAACTCCCCAAAACAGAAAATCCTTTATCTTAATTGCATTCCTTGCTGTGATTAAAAAATTTTCAAGACTTGCTTCCCATAGTATAGAATTGGATTTGAGTTATTACTATCTATTGAGTGAGTCTTGTCTTCTTGTCACATTACTGAATACTTTGTGCAAATTAATTTAGCATTGAATATTATGCCATCTGTATATTAGACCATGCTAAACTCTATGTACATGTAGGAGGGTAACATTCTAGTGAGACATTTACCTATTGATAACAGAAAATAAGAATAGATAGAAATCCAGTTAACAAAATGTATTTGGGACACAAAATATATAAAGAAAGAAATGTTATAATTCAAGCCTCAGGACTGTCACACACAAAATAATGATGTAGGAAATTTTATATGTATTTTAGCACAATTATATATATATGTGTGTGTGTGTGTGTGTGTGTGTGTGTGTGTGTGTGTGTGTGTGTGTGTGTGTGTATGTACATGGAACATCTTCATATGTTTTAAGTTTTTCCAAACAATAAACCATTATTTCTTTGGTTTCTTACAGAGCCTTCTACTTGGACAAGTCAAATTCACCACCAAACTCCACATCTAAAGCTGCTTATGTAGATAAGGTAAAAGTAGATGATTATTCTGACAGTGCATTGTTATTCACATGCTTCCCTTACCTTTTTATTCTGCTCTTTTTTGAGCAACGTGCAATTATGAATATTTGCAATCTCTACTTCCTTTGCCTGCATAACAACCAATATATTTGGGACTGCTCATTAAAAGCTATGAACTTGTGAACTTCATTGCATCTACATAGATTTCTATTAACCGTGTTGAACTTCATAGTCCTCAATTTTTTCTGCAGCTCATGAGGCCTCTCAATGCTTTGGATGAGCTCTATCGCCTGGTAACCTCATTCATCAGATCCAAGCGGACAGCTGCTTGTGCAAACACGGCATGCAGTGCATCTGGAGTTGGACTGCTGTCAGTTTCCTCAGAACTCTGTGACAGGCTGGGGGCCTGCCACATCATCATGTGTAGCAGTGGTGTGCATCGGTATGTGAGCTTACCTGCCTTTTATATAGTGGTTTTTATCTGCATGTTGGCTAGATGAAGTGAAAAGTAAAAACATTCAAAAGTCTCAGATGCATTTGACAAAGAAATTCACATGTTTTCTTGTTTGAGCTTTTACATTTTAAGTGACTAGTCTATTAAACATATGAATATAATCCTGCCTACATTTATAATATGGTGATCCAGAATCTTTGTCCTTTTTGTATTTGTACTTGCCATATTTGTATTCTAGATACAAAGTGTGAGTCCTTCTTATGTACTTAGTAGGAGGTGAAGTTAATTACTTCATCAGCCTTTTTCTTGTGCTTGATGGATATATATTTTTCTGTTAAGTGACTGATATACTTGTAGGCCAAGTGACGTGAGCCGCCTTCTCTCATAAAGCAAAATGATGGTCCAGAACAGGGCACTGGTAGATCATGGTTGTAATCCTAGCTACCCAGGAGGCTGAGATCTGAAGATTGTGATTTAAAGCCAGTCTGCAGGGGTATAGAGTACATGGAAATATGTGTGATGTAGGAAAGTTACAGATAAACTATAAGATTAGGAGGGAAGATACATCTTACACACAGTGAAAAGTTTACTTAAAGCTTAGTTAACTGCATTATCTACAACGGGTTAGGTCAAGCATTTTTCGTAGCAGAGAAATGATCTCCCTTCTGATAAACGTATCTGACTCCTTTTGTTTGCTTGTGGTTCTTTCATTCTGTCCATGTTCATGGAGCACTAGTTTTATAATTGCTGTTTACATTGATTCTTATGTTAGAATATAAGGAACACTAAAATGTTTTCATAATTGACTTTCTCCAACTCAAAAGAGCTTTAGTTCATTTCAGGAGATATGTAGGCACTAGTGTCCCAGTCAGAACTGAATTTAAAGTTAAAACTGGATGCGTTTATTTTCATATTATGTGAACGAAAAAGGAGTTTAACATAATCTTTGATTTTTTAGCAAAGCCTTTACTTAGATTTTTTTATGAAGATAAAATATGTGCTAATTTTCATTGGAATCCAGAATCCCACAGAAAGCTGTTTCTAAAATAATCCTTTAGTAATTCTAATTCAGAAAGGGAGAGGAAGCCAAGCAGTTCCACACCTGTATGAAACATTAAACACGGAGGTCTACCCTCTGCTTCCAACAGAGGGAAGAAATCTGCTGTTAATCAAATATTGCAGTTATTTTTATCATCTGCTTTTAAAATCAAGGTAAGAAATGTTCAACAATATGGTATCCACATTTAATAGTCAGTTTCCTGCAATTTCTGGTTTTATTGGACAAAAACAAGAAGACCTGGGATTTTTTTAAAGTATTGCATTATTTTATTGTGCATGTTTGGTATTAGGAGGAAGAATCTAGATTCCAGAATGAAAAGGAAGGTTTAATTAGCATTAACGTTGAGTGTTTTAATGAAAGCCTGAATAAAATGTCAGAACTGCATATAACAGTGAATATAGAGAAGTGGCACTGTGGCTTAGGTGGTAGAATGCTTGCCTTGAGCTGAAGAGCACGGGGACAGCGCCCAAGCGCAGAGAGCAAGCTCTACGACTGACAAAAAAAATAGTGAATATAGGATAGAGGATAATTCAATATGAATTATTGAATTCTTCCCATAACATTTAGCCTGGCTTTGTTTTTATGAAATTTACTTTCCTCAGGTAGTTATTTGAGAGCATTGTTAGTCAACTAATGAACTCTCCTGACCATGTTATTGGCAGCCATTCACTTGCATGTAACATCTCTAATACCTTTGTTCTACCACTTGAGTCATATCTTCAGTCTGCATTTTGTTTGTTAATTAGTAGTAAGAATCTCACAGACTTTTCTGCCTGTATTGGCTTTGAAAATCAACCCTCAGATCTTTACCTTCTGAGTAGTTAGGTTCACTTGCATTAGTTCCATATGCCCTATTGGAAAAGTTCTCTTTTTAAGGTCAGGATATTGTCTTGAACATGATAAAATGATGGTTTACTATCTGAAAAAATATTTTAACAATTGTCTCTCCTGCAAAAGCTTTTTAAATTTTCATTTGCATTCTCTCACATGTTCAAATAATATACATTTGAACACAATTGTATTAGTATATATAACATCTTAGACTATGTGTGATAGCAAAGTGCTCAACCTGTCTAATTTATACCAAGCAGAAACTTTCTTCCTTGTAGTTGTGATGGCTAGAACACTTAAGACAAAGTCACTAGCAGCCTAAGTGTCTGTTGAAGGCTCCCAAGATTCTTCCTAGATGGCATCTTAAATTTATCTTCTTGTGTGATGGATTAAAAAAAAAGGAAAGCAGCCACATTGCACCTCTTCTGTAAGATATGACTCCATTCACAGGGTTCCACCTTCTGATATCTTCCCACTGCTAATTAGATATCAATGTATTAATCTTGGAGAACACATTGATAGCATGTGGTTTAAATCAGTTTTATGCTTATGGCAACTATATATGTGCGTATACACGCACACACACACACACACACACATATATATTTCCCAATCAAGCACACAGACTTCAAATATGTCCTCCAAAGTTCATATGTTGGAAAATTAAACACCAGTGCAATGGTGGGGCCTAATAAGAGGTGATTGGGGCATGTGAGTGTTGCCTCATGAATGAAGTAATTAAATGAATGAAACCATCAGAGGAGTGCATTTGTCATTATGAGTGTGGGTAATTATAATAGTGACTTTGGCATTCCTATGCTCTTCTCTCTCTGGTGCTCTCTTGCTCATCTATCTTTTACCTTGGGATATTGCATCAAGAAGGTGCTCTTCGCATATGACCTCTTGACCTTGGACTTCACTATCTCAACTGTAATAACTAAAGCTTTGTTCTTTATAAGTTATTCAGTTTTGGGCATTCTGTTATAGCAGTCCAAAGAAAACATTTTCTCATTGTCTTTTACTGGCTACATAATATTTCAAGCAGTAGGTATTCTACCATTTACTAAACAATTCATTCAGTGATTGCTCTTAGTTCTCCATTGTCCTTAGCACCTACAGAGAGGCATCTTTGCTATAGACTGCTGTCCAGATGTGAGTTTTATTTTCTTAGGTAAAGCCAAAAATATCCTCTAGTTAGGATTGTTGTGTCAAAAAATTTAAAGCCTTTTTGGTTAATATATTGTTGTGCAGTTTCAAAAAAAAAGGACTCCCTTCAAGCACAATAAGGTGAAGAGATATATGCACATCCCCCTTCTCTGCCAGGTTTATTAGGATATATTTGTGTACTGAGCTTCTTTCCTACATGTGCAATTATACATTTTTGTAGTGCTTTAATTTATACTTCTTAATTAACAAATACAAGCATTTGGTACCTTGAATTCTCTTTCCTATAGAGAACTGCTATTTTGATTGTGTACTACCTACTTTATAGATCAAATTACTTTAAGCCAAATGGAACCGTTTAAGTATTGAATCAGCACTATGGCATCTCAAGTTCTCTTTTGTATCTATGCCAATTATTTGTTGCAGGCAATCACAGCTTGCTACAGGGATTTCTTTTATTTCTTACTGCGGCATCTTTCCTTTCAGTGCAGTATTTTCATTTGTTTGGGTTCTTCATTCCCTCCCATACTTAACAGCCAACTGTTTTGTGCTTTAACTAATATAAATCAGTGTGCTGCAAAGATACAAAGAATTCATCTTGCTGAGTCCAAAAACAGAGATGCCCCATTCCTTCCACCATATTGATTTTTGTTTCTTTAGCCAGTGAGAAACAAGTCCCTGGGGCTAACTGAAAAGATAAATACTAAAGAAATTCTAGTAAGGAAAGGGATCTGGGCCCTTGGTTTGTCTCTCTGAGGATTTATTCCAGGGAACTATGGTCCTTACATGCTTCCCGCTATATTGTTTAATAGTGGGTGATGTGTGGTGTCAAGAGTGTTGGTGTGAGTAGCCCTAAGGATAGGTGATGGGTGATTTGGGTGCTAGTCTCATGACTGTATCCTGTGATGTCTTTAATAATGAACAATGGAGAACTGTAAACATGAAATCAACTTTATCTTCCTGTGAAGATGAATCTCTTCCAGAAAATGAGGCCTTGCATTGTGTGTGTGTGTTTGTGTGTGTGTGTGTGTGTGTGTGTGCTGTTACTAGGGCTAGTACTCAGAATTCACTTATTTTTATTTTTATTGTTACTGTAAGGTTGATATACAGAGGGGTTACAGTTACATGAATCAGGTAATGAGTACAATTTTTTGAACACTGTCTCCCTTGCCTCTCTCTCTACCAGTTTTTCCCTTTCATCCTCACCCACAAGATGTACAGCTCATTTTCCACATTGTTCACCCTTTGTTCCACCTTTTCTGTGCTCTTCTTACCCTCCCAAATACAAGCAAACAAAAGGAAAAGAAAACAAAAACAACAGTAATTAAAAATAACTCTTGCTTGCGTTCCTTGGAGTTCATTTCATAAAATAATATTTTATATAATCATATGCACATAGCTATTGAGCCTTTGTCAACTACTGCTATGAATATTCTTCTTTGGCCTTAAGTATGTGAGTGTCTAGCACCTGCATAATTTATCATGTAGAACATTCATTATTGATTGTTATTTTCAGCTCAAAGCTGGCACTCTTCCACTTGAGCCACACTTCCACTTCTGGCTTTTTACTGGTTAATTGAAGATGAGTCTCACAGATTTGATTGGCCAGGCTGGCTTCAAACTTCTGTACTCAGATCTCACCCTCCTGAATAGCTAAGATTCCAGGCAAGAGCCATTGGCAGGCACCCAGCAGATGCCTTGAATTTTTAAATAATGTTCCTTGACTCCTATCATCTAGAGAGGGGATGTCAAAAACACCACCTTCAGAAGGGCCTGTGAGCTCCAGGGACTCAGGGGCACCTACCTCGGGTTGAATCCTAACTAGACAATGTGGAAGAATATGTATAGCAATTTCAGCCTGTTGCCAATATTGAAAGATGTACTAGCAATAAGGAACAATGAACATCAATCTACTCTGTGTAATGCAGAATTG